ACCATATTCCACCTCGGTCATATCATCGCGGAGTTTAGGCAAAGCCTTGCGCCGGTAGAACATCATCACCGTCACCACGCCGTCGTGCTGACGGAAATCATCCCCGACGCTTTGCTGGATTGGAGCCCGGGGAACGTCATCGAGCTGAACGTGTGCTGAACACGGAGGTGCCGTACGTTCGGTGCTTGGATCGGTCGGATCGTGAAGATGTATGACTACATCAACCGCGTTGTCATAACGCTTCCGCTTACGGTCTACGAGGGTACGTGGACAACACTCTCCCCTCTCGTTGCTATGCATCACCATGATCTTGCGTGTGCGTAGGAAATTTTTTGAAATTACTGCGTTCCCCAACACCAAGGGTGTTGGGACGTGATCGAGCCCATTTGCAGCCGTTGGGCAGCTTGCTTGGAGCAAGTACGCAATGCACCTCCAAGTGAAACCGTGGAGTCCGATTATGTGAGTTCATTTTACCTTTGTTCAAGTTGTACAAATAACATTGCATCATTCAAAATGATTGCATCATATGAAACATTGCATTGTTCAAATTGTGTAGGACAAAATTGGCCAACATAGGTACAAAGACATGGAAGCTTCGGAAGGTCAAATTCTTCGAACTAGATCATTGTTGGGAGTTGCTCAAGAATTGCGACAAGTGGGCGTTGATAGAGAAAGAGTCCCCACCGAAGAGAGGTTCACTTACAAACATGGATGAAGATGAGGATGATGATGGCCCAAGGAACTTGAACAAGCCCGATGGCGACAAGAAGACTAGGGAGAAGACCAAGAGAGAGCACGAAGCGGCGAGTTTGAGGGAGAAGATTGATGCCATGGTGCAATCAAATGAGATGATGCTTTTGAAGTCGTTGGAGATCAAGAAAGAACTGGCCGAGAAGAAGGCACGGGAGAAAGCATGAGAAATGGGAGTTGCTCAAGGAAGAGGGGCTGCACAAAGTGGCCATTGAGAAGAGAAGAGTACATGCCGCTGAGAACAAAGCCACGTCCATGTTGCTCGCCGAAGAGAACAAGATCATGTCAATGAACCGCAATGACATGGACGACCTCACCAAAGAATGGCATGATATGGCAAGAAGAGAAATCTTGAAGAGGAGAATGGCTGCGTCGGCCAGTGCGTGTTATAGTGCGGGAGGTGGATTCGGTGGGGTGTTTGGAGCCAATGTCACCAATGCGTTCAGTGCACCAGCCGATGATTTCGCTGTCGTCGTTGGCACAAGCGCCGGAGGTGGATTCGGTGGCTCCGATGATCTCCATGGACTCGATGGCACGGAGTGAAAATCGACCAAGATGATGTCGGGCGTGGTCGTCGCTTTTGCAAGTCCTTTTGCGTTTGTCCTATCAAAACTATGTTTTATTTCGCGCGCGAACTATGTTCTATGTTTTAGCGTTTGAATTTGAACTCATTTGTCAGAATTTGAACTCATTTTAGCTTATTGGGGTTTTCGGTTTGCGGGTCAGCGTGGCGCTGTCTGAGCAGACCCCGCATAGCCGATCCGTAAAAACGCATATTCTGTGAATATGCGTATTTACGGGTCCGTTTTGCGGGGTCTGAGTCTATCCTCGGCCGCGCCGGCCCTTTTCCGCGAACTGCAAAACAAATATGCGGGTTCGCATTTTGCGGGGTCGGCTAGAGATGCTCTTAGAAGGTGCACCGCAACCTACGCGCGAAGACATTGGACTAGAAAAAAAATAGCATCACGGATGAAGTCAATCACATCATTCTTCTAAACTAAAAACGTGCTATTAATAAGAACACCTCTTGAAATCCCAATAGGGCGCCGCAGAAATTACATGCATTGGTCATCCAATTAGAGAGATGCTAGACTCACGGGCTAGTTACGGGGGTTTAACGGGGTGATTATTGTTGATTGGTTGAAATTTGGTCTAATAAGGCAGGCCCACCCCTAAAAATCAGGGGGCCAATTAGTAAAGAACACGCAAGGGGGGTCCGTAATAGTTCGTCCTTTAACTCCGTGCGTATTATCGCTCCAATTAATAGACGGAGTCTAACTAATATGCATGCAACTCGTACTAGTACTATTTCGCGTCTTGATTATCTGATTTTTTTCGTTAGATGCCTAATGAACTGAGACGGAGGGAGTAAGCAATTTCGATGAGGTGGCATGAGTTAAATGAAGAAAAAGAGGGTTGAGTATCATATCATAATAAAGTATCATATTAAATAATGTGTTACTATATGAGTCTGCATGATAATGAATGAACTATCGATACCAACATATGATAATATGCACTACATATGTAGTACTCCCTCCGTCCCAAAATAAGTGTCTCAAACTTAATACAACTTTATACTAGAGTTAGTACAAAGTAGAGACACTTATTTTGGGACGGATGCTGTATCAAACACTAGTATCATATGCATGATACTAGTATATGATACTCCCCACTACGATCAGTCTTAGTACTCCCTCACTTTTCATTCAGAGGGCTTTGAAATCTCATCAATCAAGGTAGATTATGCGTGGATGGCATGAGTTTTGTGCATACGAAATTGTCCAATGAAATATTTCCACAAATTCGACTCCTGAAGAAGTGTAGCACCCTCCATCTCATTGAACTTGCATGCTGCATGTAGAATAAGATGCATACATGACCGATGATTCCCTCTCTCTTATGTCTATGAATTAGGATGGGGAAAAAATTATGCACATGTGGTAGAGATAAAAAGAAGCCAATAAGAGATAGGTACTTTTAAAATATCATTTCATAAACTACGTCCGAATCATGTCATGCTGAGATAAGGGGCTTTTAAAAAATCATTTCAAAAACTGAAGTGTCATGGTGTGTCTTTCCATGACCTAGCATCGCGGTGCTTTTCAGAGCAGTAAAACCGTGGTACCAGAGTAAACATAAATGTGTATGAAGGCAAACTAACCCATATGAAGTTGTGTCAGTTTTTTTGGGGCTCAGCGCACGCTGTACAAAACACATAAAGCTTTTTTTTTTACCCGACACACAATGACTAAAGAAAATAACAAAACGACTCTACAAGTCCCTAAAAAACCTCTCCGTAAGTGATGGTTTGTTTTGTTCGTTATTTGCGGATCTGTTTGATTTTTTCTTTGAACATTTTCTAAAATTTCATGGACATTTTGTTCCAATTTCCTAATATGTTTTGAATACACAGTAATTTTAAAAGTAATGAGCATTTTTTACTTCATGAACATTATTTTAGAAATCATGAATTTTGCTAAATATGGGAACATTTTTTTAAATCACAGACATTTTATGATTTCTATTTGTTTTAAAACTCGCATTGTTTGAAATTTTAAAAATTCTGAACTAATTTTAAGAAAGAAAAACAAATACAGAAATGAGAAAATAAAAGGCAAAGAATGAAATGAAAACAACGGGGGGTGTCACTGCTCGCACATGGGCTGGCTCATGAACATGTGCGGGAAGGGCGCTTGCTAAAGAAAGAAAAAGCACATAAAAAAATGAAGAACCCGGGTGTCCAGCATGGGAGGCTGTGGTTTTAGCCATTGTGGCATATGAGAGTATCATGATATAAGAAACGAATCCGATGGCGACTTCAGAAGAAAAAGTGAATCATTTTCCTCACTTATGGGTGGCATAGTTGGTAATTGGCAACTTCAAGGATAATTTGAGGATGAACGGGCAGAAGCACTAATGACTTTATTATTATTAGATTAGATATAGCTATAGATGTGGCGTGAGACTTTGCTAATCTCAGCAAGGCTAGCTTGGGTGCCGTGGCGCTGGATCATGAGGGACAGTGTACCTCGCGTGTTCCGAGCCCATTTTTGGAGATTTCGAGCCAGAGATGGCGGAAGCCTTAGCGCTTCGCCGTGCGGTCATTCTTGCTAGAGATGAACATTTCACACATGTGACTTTCACCTCTGACTGTCTCATGGATATCAAACAAGTGGCCCTGGCTTTCACATCTTCGGTCTTCAAGCATGTTCGTCGATAATGCAATTTAGTGGCCCATGTTTTGGCCAACTATTGTAAGAATTCTATGTTTTATGTTTTGCACACTGCTCTGGATGTCTAGATTATATCCGAAAGACCTTGTATGACTTTATTACTTAATTAATCAATGAAATGTCAACGTTTGTTCGGAAGAAACGGTGGCTAATTAAAACAATTAAGCTACACGTGAAGGGCGGCCAACCAGCTATGTCACGTGGCGCAAGCTAGTTGGCCGCGGTGAAAAATCTTTTAGAATTTTTTAGATGAAGGTGTGGATTATTTTTTAAATGTTTTTTAGATGGAGCCAAGGACCTCTGGTATTTTTTATATGAAGGGTTATGCAAAGCGGCACTCGCTGGTAGGCTGCGGTGGTAAATTTTTTCTTTTTAATTTTTTTAAGATGAAGGTGAGGATTTTTTTTGGGATGTTTTCTTAGACAAAGGCAAGAACTCTATGTATTTTTTTTAAAAGAAAAACATGTGCGTATCTTCCTCTCAAGTTGCGCCCCAGGTGGCGCCCCAACCACTAGTTGAAAACCAAGCTACGTAGCTACTCCCGAGCTGTACCTTTGATGTGACACCAAAAAAAAACCTTCATTTCAGAATATTTGTCTGGTATTTTGATTTATTTATTCCCGGTGAAGACTTGCTCCAAACTGCAAGCACACTCATTTGAAACCATGCATTGCATGCATAATTTGGCAAAGGCAACAAACAAAGTAAGCAACTCCAACGAAATTCACCAGAAAAAACCATGCATTGCATACTTTCAAAAGGACCAAACCACATCATCCAAGACGCCTCTCTCGTTAACCACCACCGTCAAACCAACAACAGGTAGCAAAACATCTAGCGCTACAGATCATCATCATCATCGTCATCATCTCAAGTATCGGATTCTGTGGAAGCGGCTAAAAAGGCAAAGGCAAGGCTGTTCGGCGACGTCGGAAACTTATTATCATCATCATCATCGCGCAGGTCCATGTGCAGTAAGGAAGTAAAAACCAGGGCGGGACGGAGACGGGCAGATCAGTCGACGACCTCCTCCGTCTTCTTGGGCTTCGACAGGAGGTACCAGCCCAGGGCGCTCAGGCCGGCCAGGGTGCCAGCCAGCACGGCGTAGTTCCTGTTCTTGTCGGTCGACGTGCCTGCTGCGGATGCCGACGTGGTTGAACCGGCGCCTGCGGTGTTCACGTCACCCGCTCCAGCGCTTGGGGTGGACGGAGCTTGCTCTCCAGTGCTGGGACCCTGCTGGAATTTAATGCCCTTGTCAGCAAGTTTCACCAACCACACAGAATATATACACTAGTGCACAGTTTCAAAATCAAACACACCCACTGGATATATAATTTTGTGCAGAATCCAAAAGGATACTAGTTTGCTGTGCAAAGCAACGCAGGAATTCATATCTCTTGTCAGCTTCATGACACAGACACAACTAGTGCATCTCAACTTAGAAAGCTAACACATAGACCCATTGCACATATATAACTTTGCCAGCAAGTATGCTAATTTGCCGTACACAACATCAAAAGACTTATTTACATCTCTTGTCAGTTTCACAACCAACACAGAGCATATACAGTAGTGTATCTTAACTTAGAAAGCTAAATCACATGTATCCATTGGACATATATAACTTTGTTAATAAGGATGCTAATAAATTGTGCACGACATCACAAGCCTTTAAATCTCTAGTCAGATCCATGAACCACACGGAACACATACAAATGGCAATGCATTTCAACTTAGGAAGCTAAAACATACATATCCATTAGGCATATATAATTTTGTAGAGAAGGATGCTAATTTGCTGTACATGGCAACATGAGCAGACAAGAATCATGGAAGTAGAACATCAACAACCAATGCCCAGTTGAGAGGTTCAAGCAATTGTGTGTTCACATACCTTGCGTGCGAGCTTCTCCCGCTTCTCTTGCTCCATTTTCTGCATAAACAGGCCAGAAATAGGTCATCAGGCATGTTATTAAGTATTAGCAAAGCATCAGCATATACACAGAAGACCACTTATGCCAACATTGTGGCTTTATATTAACAAAGCATCAGCACATATACAAAAGACCACCCACTTATGCCAACACTATAGCTTTATATTAACAAAGCACCAACACATAAACAGAAGACCACTTGTCCCAACAGTATGGCTTATATCAGATTCAGAGTTTAAAACCGGAAAAACTGGTGCCTCTGGATGTCCTGACTAATTTCAAGTGTTCATAGTTGAACTTGTACTATGGATGAGCCTAGTGCTTCATTCGTCAACTTAACAGAGATAACAGGGCATAACACCATATAGAAAGTGATATATACACATATATGAGCAATAATGATCACAGCTGAAAGACTACAACTAGGAATCCTAGGGACTGAGATAAACATTTTATTGTTCAAGACTGCAACTGAAAGCAGCTAATAAGGTAAGAGATCCAATTCAATGATTATGATTATATATGTAAGACAAGCATTATCTGAAGCAATGGGTGCATCAAGCAACGGTTAATTAATGTGCTGCAGAAAGAAGTAACAATTATGTCTACCCGTACAACTGTTATCAAGGATTCCTAGCTGAATTTTACTTCTGATAAGTCCAGTGCTTCATTTGTCAACTCAACACAGGATATACAATGGCATATACTCCCTCCGTTCCAAAATAGATGACTCAACTTTATACTAAGTTTAGTACAAAGTTGGGTCATCTATTTTGGAACGGAGGGAGTATATAACTATATAATAATATAATATGGACATCGTACTTTCCGAACAATGTCACTGCTTAGTATAAACAATTTAACTACTAACAAGGTAAGACAAGCATTATTTGAAACAATGAGGTGTTGTATCAAGCATATGGTTTCTATTGGTGTTCTGCAGAAATAATGAAATAACAATGGTTCTCAGGAGACTAAACAGAAAACACACAAAACAAGCAACTAGCATAGTGGCAGAATTTTTCTACTCACCGCGAACCTAACCTATAACATAATCATCCAATTACACATTCTAACGATGAACAATAAAAACAATAAACATAACTGATGAGTTCACAACAGCCACGGCAAAAATTATAGCCCAACTGGACCACAAAATGAAAGAAAGAAAAAAGGTTCAGGGAACAGGTCATGCAGTGACGAGAATTAAAAGATTCACTTAACCTCAAAAACATAGCACCAACACATATCACGGTGCCTACAGGTAGCCAGTGCCTACTGATAGTTATTTGCAATCCCTATCAGTATATCCAAATATCAATCCCCAGTTCCAAGAGAACTAAACCCCATATCACAACAACCATCCAACTGAAGCTTCAATAGTGAAAAAGCATGATGGAACATATAAAATCAGTTCAGAGGCAAGTTTGCAAAGATCCTCATCAGAACAGCTATTGTGTCAGTGGGCATAACTGAGCAACCAGCCTACATCGGAAGGTTCACGTAATCACAGAAGGCCAAGATTGGCACATACTGTAGTTGCCAGTGCGTGCTAGTATTATTGCACTTGCATGTGTGCAACCAGTGATCAATCCCCAATTCCAAACACCCTATAACTTGACACCACAGCAATCATATAATGAAGCTCCAATAGTAAAATAGCATGATGAGCAAATAAAATAAGTTGAGAGGTAGGTTAGCAGAGACCCCCAATTCCCCCACTACACCAGCAGAGCAGCTATCATGTCCATGGGCATAACTAAGCAACTAACCCGCACTTACAAGACTCACATAATAATCACAAAAAGGCTAATATTGACAGGTTGTTGCCGGTGCATACTAGTACGATTTGCACTTGCCCAAATCAATCCCCACTAGCAAACCACCTGAAACTTAACACAGCAGAGCAACCACCCAATTCGATTAACACATAAAAGTAATTTCAGTGGCCAAAGATCCCCCAAAGGCCAAATCCACAGGAACAGACGAGCTATACTGCGTCAACGGACATCATAACCAACCATGAATCCGAGACATAACCGAGAACGCTCTGTCACCCGACCAGGGGCGCCTCAAATCACCGTCCCCAACCCGCGCAGGTCTCAGCACCACCAACCAAACAGCCGGTGCTGGCTGGCGCGGCGTTGGACCCTGCGCTTCAAATCGCCAACCAACGCGGGGTACGTAAATCGCCAACCAACTACGCGACATGAAAACGACCACGCGACCGGCGGAAATCCCCCGGCGGGCGCGCGGATCGCGCCGGGAACCCTAGCACAAGACGCGCGGGGCAGGCCAGACGAGACGGGGCCGCGCCGCGTCGCGTCCACGAGGAGCCATCTCGCGCCGGAGCGGGAGGAGGGAGGCGGAGGCGCGGGGAAGGGGAAGGGGACGGGGGCGGGGGCGATATACCTTGATGTAGACGTTCTCGGCGGCCCTCTCCTCCTCGCTGAGCACCTTGCCGGAGGAGCGGAGCCTGGTCTGCACGAACCGCGCCGCCGCCCTGCCCGGGGCCCGCGCCGCCGCCCTCGCCGCCGCCGCCATCGACATCGCCGCCGCCCGGAGAGAAAACCCTAGCACTCTCTGGATGGATCCGCTCTCTGGAAGACTCTCGAACCCTCTCTCTCCCTCTCTCTGGAAATGAGATGACGAGGCGGAAGCGGAGCACGGGGTGGGTACGAGTAGACCACCGCTCCGTGCCATTTTGCGATCACACCCCTTAAGACGCGCGTATTTACGCCGGCTTTACCAGTTTTCTGCTTCCTTTTTGCGTTTTGGTCCATTCCATCAACCTCCGCCCCAAGAAAGGCTCCGCCAGACTCGTCACCCCCGATACGAAATTCAAATTTCAAATGGCCTCCCGCAGCAGCGCACGTCGTTATCCATCACAATTCACAACTGACGACAAGTACATAAAAAGATAGTAGTATCATGTTGTACCAAAATGCCTGCATCTTCGTTCGCAGGGAGAAAAAAAAGCTTACACCTTGCTTGCGGGTGTATACGTCGGCGATGAGGGGTCTTCCCTGGTGGGAGCGTGCCGGCGTGGCACGGGGAGGTGGGGGAGCGGACGGTCGGCGAGGGGTGAGGTCAATGGGTTCTTTGCGTGGGTATTGCGTCCTCGAGGTGCTGGGATGGTAAGCTAAGCTGGTGGTCGATGTGGAGGAGGAGCATCTCCTTGTGTGGATGCAATCCTACAATCCTCCAAAACTCATGGTCCGACGGTCTTAGGTGAGCAAGACTTGGTCCATGCCGATGAGGTTGTCCTCTTGTGAGTTGTGTTACGGTCATAAGGATGTTATATATTGTGGCAATGCTCATAGAACGCCGCCCCCACTGTCGGTGTCAAAATCGGCGGATCTCGGGTAGGGGGTCCCGAACTGTGCGTCTAGGATTGATGGTAAGAGGAGGCAGGGGACACGATGTTTACCCAGGTTCGGGCCCTATCTATGGAGGTAATACCCTACTTCCTGCTTGATTGATCTTGATGAATATGAGTATTACAAGAGTTGATCTACCACGAGATCGTGATGGCTAAAACCCAGAAGTCTAGCCTGTATGATTATGATTGCCTCTACGGACTAAGCCCTCCGGTTTATATAGACATCGGAAGGGATTAGGGTTGTACAAAGTCGGTTACAGAGAAAGGAATCTTCATATCCGGGAGCCAAAATTGCCTTCCACACCAAGAAGAGTCCCATCCGGACACGGGAGAGAGTCTTCTATCTTGTATCTTCACGGCCCAAAAGTCCGGCCCACGCTACATAGTCCGGCCGTCCGAGGACCCTTTAATCCAGGACTCCCTCACCCACCCCCTCGCGCGGGTACTTACCCAATTTCCTATATATTCCATGTAATTAGGCCTCCTAGTGACATAGTGTGCAATATGTCCCATGGGTGCTTGGGTCCAAACTCTTGACCCCCCCCCCATTAGTCTTGGGAGCACAATGCTTGTGTAAAAAACAAAACCTCATCTTTGGGCTCCTCGATCGCCTCTGATTCTTCTTCTTCTTCTTCTTTAGATAGTTGCTCTTCTTCATCGAACAAACGACACGAGCGTAGCTCCTTCAAGAAGATTATTTCCATACATGTCTTCTCTGTTTTGACAGCACATGGTTGGACAACTTTTTTTTGGCGGGTGGAAAGGTGACAATGTTTAAGGGAATACCAAGAATAAGAACAACTCATGGTGGCATGACACGCACAGTAAATAGCAATTAACATGTTTTCATATAACCTTTATTGTAGGTAATGTGCTGCCTAGGACAGTGGTTGGTTGGTCCTTTTGTTGCTGTGTGTCATTGATCGCTTCGACATGATACTTGGATGCGACGTTTAAAAATATATAATACCATGTCTTGACTCCAAGGTGTTACATATCTTAGATGTACTTAGTACCACCTTGTTATTATATTTTTATTTTTTAAAGTCAATAATAATTGACAATCCCCTCGTAAACACTTTATACGTGCAGATCCGTCTAATTGCTTATATCCAGTCAAACACTAGAAACCCCCTAACAAGATATTTTGCTACATCACACACTTTAGAGCTCTCTACCAAATTAATTAATAATATTAAATGGGTGCAACATACACACATAGAGACAGAGGGGCACACGCAAAGAGACTATTTCTCATGTGATTGAGAAAATAAATATTTTAAAGTCAACAACTTTGTATGTTGATTAAATTTAGAATTTCATTATGTTGTCAATTATACTAACTAGGAAATGATAAACATTCTAGTCAAGACCATGTGTTTGATAAAATATATTGTAAATAAGTAAAAATGTTTCAGTATAAATTTAAATTATAACCACTCTTAGTACTTGTTGGAAATGTTAAATATGAGTTTTGCAAGTGGCATGTCATTCGGATAGGGAACCTTACTCTTAATCCCATGGGCTCAATTGATTAACGATGACATCATTTATGTTATCGATGGTCGATTCCATTTGAGAGTCCAAGTGACCATTAAACAGTCGTAGTCTAATCAGGTAATGCTCGTAGACTCTTAATTACTAGGACTTGTAAGATGCGAAAAATTTCAGGAAAATACCGGGATTATAATGAGATCAGGATTGTCTTCACTTCAAACCTGGTGAGTTTGATTAGATTTATGCACATGTTAGTCCCAGCTTTACGACTGTTTGCAGGTTTTCACCTTACTAATATGCTTTCAACAGTCGAAAGAGTTATAAGTGCCCTGCAGTACAAGACGATTAACTCGTATACTCTAGAACCATAATGGAATTATGAGAGCAGAACTTATCTTGTGAGGCCTGTCAAGTTTGTCAACCTTGATCCATTCCCTGGGGTTGTTGTGTACTTGGACCTTAGTCTTCATGACTATCTTCAGATGACTGTACCTGGCAAGAATATTATTGACTTAGAGATATTTCCATTTGATAGTTTTGGTTAACTGTGAAAGCAATTACTAGATTTGATGCTGCTACCAAGTCCCCTACTTCTCTTGGCTTGTTTCTAGCTATTCACCCTTTCACCTGGCCATCAATAAATGTTGAGATTGCATTTTCCATGAGGCAAAAGCTCTTTGAGGATTACATTACCAAGGGCAAAATCACACCACATTTGATAGTGAAAAATTATGTGGTAATTACAACTTGTTCCAGTGCTCTTAGGCTCAGTTAACCGGTGAGGCAAGTCCATTTGTCATTGGTGGCGGGATCTATATAAGAGTAGAGGTGAAGATTATGCAGCCATAGTGTGTAACTCTTGAACCTCAAGAATGTAACATGTTGTTTGCGAACCATATCCTTTATGGCTACTAATGAAGCATGGCAGGAACTTTTGTTTTATTATATGTAGTGTCGGTGTCGAAACGGGCGGATCTTGGGTAGGGGGTCCCGAGCTGTGGGTCTAGGATCGATGGACAACAAGGAACGTAGGGACAACGTTTACCCAGGTTCGAGCCCTCTCGAGGAGGTAAAACCCTACGCCTCCCTTGATTGTGTTGATGTGCAGTATGATCATTACATAGTTGATACACCACGAGATTGGATGAACTAAACCCAAGTATCTTAGAAAAGATGCTATAACCTTAGAGAAATGGTGGTGGAAGCTTGAGATACAACAGGGCTTGTGGCAAGAGGTGATACAAGCCAAGTACCTTAGAACATATACTGTAAGCACAACCAAATGTAATTTTGGCGATTCTCCTATTTGGGAAGCTATCCTGAAAGTCAAGGATCACTACTTGGCTAGGAGAGGAGTGGTCCTGAATTCCAGCAATATTGCTAGAATGTGGATTGATTCCCTGAATAATAATCCGCCTCTATGTTCTAAATATCAAGTTCTCTACAATATTTGTAATGATCAAGAGATTACGATGGTTGGGTTTAAAAAGGGGGGTGGATGGTGATTTCTTTAGAAGGCAACTTCACTCTCCTTTGATAGAACAATGGAAAGAACTACAACCTATGGTAGAATCTTGGTTGCTCTCCGAGGATCCAAACCAAGTGATCTGGACCCTGGGAAATAAAAAGGTTTACAACTAAATCAGTCTATGAGTATTTGGAGAGGAACATAGCTGATTGTAGCTATAAGTGGATTTGGAAATCCAAAACCCCCTTAAAATTCAAGTTCTCCTGTGACAACTCTTTCAGGACGTTGTTCTAACTAGAGATTGAAGGAAATATGCCCTAGAGGCAATAATAAAATTATTATTTATTTCCTTATTTCATGATAAATGTTTATTATTCATGCTAGAATTGTATTAACCGGAAACTTAGTAGATGTGTGAATACATAGACAAACAGAGTGTCACTAGTATGCCTCTACTTGACTAGCTCGTTGAATCAAAGATGGTTATGTTTCCTAGCCATAGACATGAGTTGTCATTTGATTAACGGGGTCACATCATTGGAGAATGATGTGATTGACTTGACCCATTCCGTTAGCTTAGCACTTGATCGTTTAGTATATTGATATTGCTTTCTTCATGACTTATACATGTTCCTATGACTATGAGATTATGCAACTCCCGAATATCGAAGGAACACTTTGTGTGCTACCAAACATCACAACGTAACTGGGTGATTATAAAGGTGCTCTACAGGTTTCTCCGATGGTACTTGTTGAGTTGGCATAGATTGAGATTAGGATTTGTCACTCTGATTGTCGGAGAGGTATCTCTGGGCCCTCTTGGTAATGCACATCACTATAAGCCTTGCAAGCAATGTGACTAATGAGTTAGTTGCGGGATGATGCATTACGGAACAAGTAAAGAGACTTGCTGGTAACGAGATTGAACTAGGTATGGTGATACCGACGATCGAATCTTGGTCAAGTAACATACCGATGACAAAGGGAACAACGTATGTTGTTATGCGGTTTGACCGATAAAGATCTTCGTAGAATATGTAGGAGCCAATATGAGCATCCAGGTTCCGCTATTGGTTATTTACCGAAGATGTGTCTCGGTCATGTCTACATAGTTCTCGAACCCATAGGGTCCGCACACTTAACATTCGGTGACAATTTATATTATGAGTTATGTGATTTGATGACCGAAGTTTGTTCGGAGTCCCGGATGAGATTGGGGACATGGCAAGGAGTCTCGAAATGATCGAGCCGTAAAGATCAATATATTGGAAGGCTATATTCGGACATCGGAAAGGTTCCGAGTGATTTGGGTATTTTTTGGGGTACCGGAGAGTTACGGGAATTCGTATTGGGCCT